AGGTTGTTTTTCTGGAAACTTGCTTGTGCTCGAAGTCTGCCAGAAAAACAGCCTTCGTAGCAACTTCGACCCTTTTGTTTGAAGCCTTACAGATATCCAATCTTTCATCCAATGCCTTGAATTTGTATAAAAACATACCTAATTTAACGTGGTAGAGACCCCCGGACTCGACTCGCATTCATGCTTCTCGAATTGAGCTTCAAAGTAGGCTTCACAAGCACGTTTCCAGACTTAGTCATTTTCAGGCAGTTTCCTAGTTTTGGCATAGCCTTTTGTTCAGGTTCAAAAATGGTCTTTTGGACTTCCTATCGAGCTCTCAATCACTTCAATATGTAGATGGACACTCCAGCTTCAAAACAAGCCATTAATCTTCAATTTCCATTTAGCCAATTTTATGATATGAATCTCCAAAGTAGGCACCATGAAACTGTTTTTACAGCGAAACAACAGATTAGGTCGACCTGATCCTAAATGAGGTTGACCTGATTCTAAATGCGGTCGACCTGATCCTAAGTGAGGTCGACCTGATCCTAACTGAGGTCGACCGAAAAGTGCAAGTCACAATGACATGCATGTCACCATAGGCGCACCCTAGTTATTATGACGCCTAAAAGCCGAGTATCGAGTTGTTAACCAGTTTACTTCGAACACACGCATATTAATTATCATCGAAGTAATTAATACAAAAAAAGGCTTCCAATAATATTGGATTGCCCTATCATACGTGTTATTATATATATCCTCTTTTAGCCGTTTCGGCGTGCCCCATATAATAATATGCGTAGAGGAGTTTTATCGTTTGCACCAGCTGACCTAATTACCAGCCGCCGGCCGAAAGCAAACGACTTCAATCCAACACTTCTTTTCTCTTTAGTTTTTTTCCCGACGCACCAATATATGATCTGGTGATGAGGTATGGGTTTAATAATTTTCCACGAGAAGTCCATGCTTTCATAATTAACATCTAATTATTGTTTAATCATAGATAAGATTTGCTGTGTGATGCTTACAGATCAATATATTAGTTTTTGCCTCTGTTTTCTTCCCTCTTTCTGCTGTTTTTGCGTGCTATTATGGGTTTTAAGCTCTCTCGAATCTAGCTTTGGTCCACCACGTACACAAGTAAACTAATGAAGCAGCTGCTAATAATTCGAGCCTTACCTAGTTTAGGAATGGGCATGGGCATGGCACTAAAGATAGTTTGGATCTTCAAGATTATGAACACTAACCCACTTCATAATTGTATGTTTGATAACTGGAAAAGTTGACAAACTCAGCTTTATAAAAAGAAAATGGGAAGATCAGGGTGATCCCCTACGGATCGTTTGGTGGTTGCAAAATCTCAGGACCAACGATAAATGATTGTCGTTATTGATGGGGTTTAATTTTGGAATTCTCTTGATTTTATTTGGAAAGGTTAAAGATTGCATACATATATATGATCATTGTTGAGTATGGCCTGTATCTCTAAGCTAAGGGAGGTTGAGACATATGATTTGTGTCGAATTATTTGTCGTCGAGTGGAAGTCAGGAGAGGTTCAATCATGGATCATATACCGTTTACTAACACCCCCTTCAAACTCAGACCATTCAGATAGGCTTGGAGTTTGGACAGAGGCACAGGTCCGGACACCGTGTGCTTTAACAGAAACAGATGGGGTCATCGGGAATTGAACAGAAGACCTCACGGCCACAGAAGGCTATGATACCATGTCAAGAACCAGTTGATCCTAATAACCCGAGTTGTTGGGAGCAATGCAGTCAAAAGCGCGATTCTACCTAGAAGCGGAAAAGAGGTAAAATCGTAAAGCGTAGAATCAAAGCGTACAAGCGTAAGTTTTTTACGCATACTGAAAAATAACTAAAAATTTATTAAGTAGGACACTTACTATGTAAAATATGAATGCACATAATTTAGATAAGTTAATAAATACATCCAATTCATGTCCAAAGCAGAGCAACTTATAGCATCTTAATAATAAGTTTGTAAACATAAAATTTAACAATAAGCCACTTTTTCCTCTATGCTACTGAATTCGGGAAGAGCCTGGCTGGTGAATTAGATTACTTTATTGAAATTGAGAATGCATCCAAGTACTTGGTATGTATCTTTTCATCTCAAATGCATCATATTGTTGGTGATTTACTTTTAAATATTAGTTTTTATAATTAATTTCATGAAAAGAATACCCATTTAGTGAACTAAAAGCGTAAAAACGTAAAGTGTTTTGGTGAACTAGAAGCGTAAAAGCGTAAGTTTTTAAGGTTTAAAGCGCAATTTGGTCCGATTTATACACTTAAGTTTTTATATGGAAACGAAAGCCTTTTGGTGACCTAAAAGCGTAAAATCGTAAATTTTTAAGTTTTAAAACGCGATTTTAACTGCATTGGTTGGAAGAGGTTCAATCATGGATCATATACCGTTTACTAACGGTTTCTACATAAATAATATGGAAACAAAATCAAACTTCATCCTTCATTTCTCAAATTCTTAATTTTGTTCCTTTTCTTCCCCAAAATCCCTCCTGTTAAAACTTGATAGTTTTCTTTTATCCTAATAATGAGTCTCTAACAATGATACCATAGATTTGGAATCTCCACTACATTATTATATATCTTGGGAAAATACACTAGAGGTTTTCTAAAACTAAATGTACTTTTTCTAGATCAAGGTCATTGAAGAAAGCATCTTATAGTTTTGTTACCAACTTCCATGGTAAGTGTAGAAAGGACATTTGCATTAAGCTAAATGAAACACACTCATCAATATTGAACGAGTGATAAAATTATTAATGATTGTTTGATTGGACATATTTGGTTTGATATTATATGAATGTGTCTTACAAGTTTTGCAAATTATGTAACATGTTGCGAGAAAAATGTATAAAATTTAAAAGATTTTATACAAAAATCGGATCCATCTTGTATGAAATTCTAGCTACACCACTGACCATCTGAAGAAGTACTATATACACTTCTATATCTCTCTCTAATATGTATATCTTCAAATAAGTGAAACTGACCATTTTTTGCCTGTGAACTACCTAATACACATTGTATTAGTTAATTAACTATATAGATATGTGGGTACTTCATTTTATTGCATTGTCGATTATACACATTCGTTCTAACACATAATAAACACTTCCTTTTGGTGTTTAGGATCATATGCCTCGGCCATCTTAATAATTAATCATGGAAGGTGCATCATTCTTTTGATTGAGCTAGCAGGATATGTATCAGATAGCAAAAAAAAACAAAAACGAAAAGTTAAGTGAATAACTCGAGGGAGAATTCCCATTATTCGATTCGAGTCATTAATCATACATATATGTTATAATCATGATATATGTCAGAATAATTAGATTTGTTTATAACTAGTAAAATTGTATTGAAAAGCAAGTGAAATTGGTCGTCGAATAATACGAACGAGGTAAGAAGAAAATACACGGGATGGTTATCCAAAAAGATCAATTTGTACCACATCGTTTAGTTACAAAATATTTAATGGATTTATAAGGTTATTTTGATATTAAAAAGTTAATAAATGAATTAGTTGGGCTTTAATGGGTGAGTTTTTGGGGCTAAGTGGTCAAACTCCCTCTTCCTAGCCTAGTGGCCGACCGCCTCCATGACCTCGAAGCTGACACCTTCTCTCCTTTGGAACAAGAAAACTGGTAGCAAAATACGAAATTTGGTTAAGTCTGGAGCCAAGAGGGTACCAAGCTGACAAGACAAAGCTTGGTACCTGATGTACCTGATAACGCGTTAATTACACATATTTATTCTTTCATTTCTTAAGCATTTGTGATAATTTTCTTACACATTGAGCCGGTTTTACGCTTGGTTGTGCATAGAGGTGTCAATCCACCAATCTATTAAAAATATCCACCTAATCCAATCCATTTAAATCCAAATCCAATTGGATTGGCGGATTGATCCATGGATCAAAATGGCAAATTATGGTTTGATACCTATACTTTTTATATTTTAGATTTTTGTACCTAAAATTCAATTTTTATACTAAAAATATCATTAAAAAATTACATTTTGGCACCTAAATTTTTTTATTATGACATTTTAGTACCTAAACTTTTCACATTTTACATATTGGTCCAAGGTTGAGGATGTCATTTGGATTCATGATAATCCACCAATCCACTTGATCCAATCCATGGAAAAACCAATCCAATCCATTTGATCCATGGATCCACCAATCCATGTGGATCCAATCCATTTGCCACCTCTAGGCTCTAATTGTGCATGTTTATGATGTTTTAGGTCCTAGTTCGTAAATGAGAGCTTCGAAACAAGTTTTGGGACAGTTGGGTGAAGTTTTCATATTCTAAAAGAAACATCAAGTACATTTGGTGTCTACACTCTTAATAGTACGTCTCTTTTATGTATCTCACTAAACAATTATAGCAAATTTATTGCTAATTCGACTTCGAAACTTGTGGTTAATATAAACAAATGTGATAATTCATCGGTTGTTTGGTGATTAATTAGAAATAAATTGAAGTCATTGGGAAAAATTACTGATGATGTTAGTAAGGTGTTCTTGTATTAAGTAATGTTAGTTAGAGTTCTTGTATAATGAGAAGTAGTGTGCAAGTTTGAGATAGGCTCCTTGTATAATTTATAACCTTAGAATTTGGATCACTCCAAAATACTTGAGCTTTAATAAGATTTTATTTTATTATCGGCGATCAAAGACAGAGAACATAGAATTTTCAATAATAGACAAAAAAAAAAAAAAACTCCACTTTCTGTGATAACGAAAAAGGTATAGTACTTGCTCGATCGATGAAAGCAAGCAAAAAATCCCCTCCCATCCCCCCAGAAATCCAAAAAAAAAAAATCATTAACAGACTTTTCTGTATACTGTATACACTTTCCCTTTCTCCCCTTATATTTTTTTTTTCCCAGTAACAAAGAATATGTATGTGACCAAATCAATTAACAAAAAATATAAATTTTATCTTTCCCCACCATCAATATTACTGGCTCGACCCGGTCCGTCGACGATACTGGTCGACGAACCGGTGCAGCCTATCCAAGGCGACGTCCAGCGTCGCCTCGCTCATGTTAGCGAAGCAGACGCGGAACCACCCGGGCTCGGAGCAATGGCAGGACGAGCCGGGGGAGATATTGAGCCTCACGTCCCTCACAATCAGGTTCCACAGCGCCAGCTCGCCTTCCTTGGTCGTCTCCTCGAGCAACGGACCGAGGTTCATCCAGCAGAACAGCCCCGCGTTGCCACGTAGGCACTCGATCCCGGCGCGACGCAGCCCGGCGATGATCGCGTCGTACCTCCTCCTCAGCCGCTCCCTGTTCGTCTTTACGTAGTTGGCGGTGAATTCCTCGTCGGAGAGCATGCAGGCGAGGAGGTGCTGCGTCTGCGAAGAGATGAGCGTGAAGCTCGACATCCTTCTCGCCGTGGTCACAACGGCGTCGTTGTAGGAGTAGATGGTCCCCACGCGGAACCCGGGCAGGCCCAGGTCCTTGGACAGGCTGTACACGATGTGGACCCGCTCCCTGTCCACGTGGCGGGAGCCGCGGGACTCGAGGACCTCGGCGATGCTGACGAACTCGGCGGACGAGAAGGTGGAGCCCGAGTAGATTTCGTCGGACACGAGGTGGATGTTCTTCTCCACGGCGAAGTCGAGGATCTGCTCCAGTGCGGCGCGCTGCACCGTGGCGCCCAGGGGGTTGGAAGGGTTGGTGATGAGGACGCCGCGGACCGTGAGGCCGCGCGAAACGGCGTCGTCGTATGCGGCGTGGAGGGCGGATTCGGTGATCTGGAAGTTGTTGGAGCTGTGGCAGTGGATGGGGACGATTTGGACGCCGGTCCGCCACCTCAGGTCCCGGTCGAACCCCGGGTAGTACGGGGTCGGGATGAGGAGGGCGTCGCCCGGGTTGGCCAGGATGAAGGTCAGGAGCTCGTTGGCCGCGGTCGCGCCCGCGGTCAGGACGACCCGGTCCGGGTCGAACCGGGCGCGGCCGCCGCGGATTTGCTCCATGAAGGAGGCCATTGCCCCGCGGAAGGATTTGAGGCCGTGGTAGTCCTGGAAGAGGGCGTTGTCCCTGAACCCGGCCGTGGCTCCCTTCCCCCACGTGGCGGCCTCGGAGTGGCGTTCGAGGAAGTCCTCGAGCAGGTCGAAGGAGACCTGGTTTTCGGCCAGACCCATCTGGATCACCCCGCTCGGGTTGGTCAGCTCGTCGTACGGGTTCTCGTCGTAGGCCTTCCACCCGGCGAAGTACGGAGAGTCTTCTCCGTGGGTTTCGGAGACTGCGATTCTGGAGAGCGCCACGGCGGCGGGTTTTGGCTGCTGCTCGAGCTCGATCGCCATTTATGAGAAGTTGGTGGGAATTGAAGTGGGTTTCTTCTGAAAGAGACAAGGTATAAGAAGTGAGAGAGCTAGCTTTTCTTTCTTTCTTTCTTCTTCCTGAGTAGGATAAAAACAGACAGAAGTCTGTGAGGAAGGAAGAGAGAGAGAGAGAGAGAGCAAAAAAAAGGAGAGGGATTTGTGAATGTTTGAAGAATGAATGATTTGTGGAAGGAGGAGAAGGAGAAGCTACTTATATATATAGTGGGGAAAGAGTGTGTTTTTGTTTATTGGGGAAATATAATATGAGAAAAGGGTAATGGTCACAACTAGAGGGATTTAGAATAATAAAAGAAATCAATGATTCTATGGTGTAAGCAAATATGATCAAGAGAGACAAAATCCACTTCTTCTTCTTGTTCATTTTTTTCACAGAGATCAATGAGAAAGAGAGGGTTGGTCTTGTTTTTGTTTAATCTTGACAACTGTACATGTTGCGGTTCTGTCAGCTGCCCCTTTTTTTCTTTCTCTCAATCTCCATAAGATCCCACAAACCGAATATGGTGGTTGAATGTGTAGAGTGGAGGGGGAGAGAGGGGTTGGTGACTTGGTGTAAGTAGTGTTAATCAATCTCTTTTCTTTCTCTCCCTTCACACCTTTTTCAGCTTCTTCATTGTAGCTTCTTCTTACATATATGATACTCGTATTAATTAGTGATAAATCGAGATTTAGAGTGAACAATGGATAACGATGTAAAAAGTTATATTTTTCGGGTCAAATTATTTTACGGAGTAGAAGATATTAAAAAAATCAGTAACTTGCGATTTTTTTAACGAATAGCGACAAATTTTACTGAAATTCCTGGACATAAAAAATACGGAAGCAAGGCTACATCCCCAATTCCCATCACCTCCTGTTTGAACAATCTCCTTTTTCTTATTTATATATTATCATAATTATAAAAAAAAGGCTACATCCCCAATCCCCAACTAAGTAAACAATGAGAAGCCACTGCATCACCACAGTAGTCACCATAAATAACGAACCGCTGCTACTTCTCTGGATCTATATATCACGATCACCAAAAGAAACGAAAATCGCTCATTACAAACCACACCCACCAGCACACATCATAAAAGACTTTGTAGGTAGAGTACTACCGGGAAATAACTCGAGATTTATCTAGGATAAAAAATAAGATTTTGAAATCAATTTGTCTAGTGTTAGAAGACTCATCAAGAAAGATAATATGCATGAGAAAAGGATAATGGAATGAGTGTGTGTGGTGTATTAGGAGGCTTTATTTAGCGAGAAACAAAAAGTCTATCCTTCACTAGTTAGATCGATATTTGAAAATATTAATCTCAATATTTTAATTTGTTAAGCACCAACTAATTTCATACCAGATATCTCTGAAACCGATCACTAACTTATTCCAATTGGAATCATCGTACCGTGAAAAGATTTGAGATGAATATACAAAGAGTATTAAAAACCAGCCTCGAGCCATCTTACATATTCTTATCGAATTCCGCATGGCAAAAATGGAACATATAGTAGACTATTTGTCAAAAATAAAAGGATGTTCTAATTCTTCCTTTAATGATTGGTTCCTTCATAATATGTGATAATGATCTTGTAATTAGTTTAATGGGTTTTAATCTGATTAGTAATCATTGTAGAAGGATTAGCTATGATCTTGGTCATCATTATATAGTAACCCAAAACTAGCCACCACCAAACCTATGACTAGCTAGTGGAAGAATTCTGTTTACTGAAACCAAAATCATAACCACAATGGGCAATCAATCATATGCATATATGCCTTCAGCAAATTAATATTACAGAAATTAACAAAAAAAAAATATATATATTAGAGAAGGGGGCGGCAGATCTAAAGAGTAGTTGAAGGTTCTACTAATGACTTGACAAAGATACCCATTTTAACACAAGATTTTAAGATTCTGATTTTGGTTATAACCCAAAGCTTTGATGACCTAAACAGAAGCCCAAAGGAGATCTCATGACCCCACAACCTACTCCCTCTTTCTCCTTGCTAATTAATCATTAGCAACAAACTGTAGAACATAATTTAACTTAACCCTTCACTAAGCTTCTATTAATGGCAAATTGTTTCATGGTTGTCGAAAATGAGATAGAACATCAATTCTATCTCATTTTATAACTATCTATCTCCTATTTATGTACTTCGACCTTCTCATTTCTCCTTGTAATCCCTTTCTCACAATCCACTATTGATCAAGTTTAATGACCGAGATTAGCATGGGTAATTAGTTGAGAGAGGGAGATTAACACTAAGCTAAGTACTTAAGTAGGATATGTGTGAAGGAATATATACAACAGAATAGGTGGCAATTGAAGATGTGGGAAAATCTATGATGTTTGCTACATTTGCTTTGCCTACTACATGTAAGACATGAAGATGCTTGTCGAGATTGTGTTTCTATGTAGATTTTCAACTAACAAACTCATCAAGAACCAGATAACCAATAACAATAATTGTAATAAATTAAGTGGACGGCCAACTATATATTTTTTACAAGGGTTAATACCACTAGAAAACCCGAACTATTAACTTTGTGTCATTTGTGTCCTAAAGTAATCGATATGACATTTGTGTCCTAAACTATTTGTCCGTTAGAGTTGACTGGCGTTGACCGTTAGTTTTTAACTGAAAATCTAGTCAGCGCTGATGTGGCATCCGACGTGGAATATTATTATTTATTATTGATTTATTTTATTATAAAAAATAATATACTAACAAAACGAAAATTACAAAATACAAAAAATTAAATATAAAAATACAAAATAAATAACTCTTTTATCTCTCCTCCGTAGTCTTCGCCGCCGGAACTCCTCCCGCTGCTTCTTCGTCTTCTCTCCTCTGCTCGTTGCCCTCTTGAACTACAAACTCCCAAACCCAAATCAAGAAACCCAACCCAGATCTCAATACCACAACGAAATCAGAAACCCCAACCCACAACGAAATCAGAAACCCAAATGGCCAACAAAATAATCGAAATCCCTAAAAATTTCAGGGTTTCTTTCTTATCTGAATCCCAACTCATATAAACAAATTCAAGAAGAATGGCATGGGGGAGTGGCGACTTACCTGATGGAGTCACTATTGGCGGCATCCTTTTCACCATCGACGGCGGATGAGGGAGAGCAAGAAGAATGGCATGGGGGGCGGCATCCTTTTCGCGAATCCGCAATGGAAATCTTAAGCACGATGGGTGATTTAGGGATTGGAGGAATTCGATTGGAATTTTGAATTGAATCTAAAGGCGACGGAGCCGAGATTGGAGGAGTTCGATTGGAATTTTTATCTGAATTTGAAGGCGACGGAGATGACCTGGATTTGTAGGGCCGAATTGAAGTGGTGGTTGCCGGAGCTGGATTATTCGCCGTTCGATATTTGTCTCTCCTCGTCCAAGTCGCCGGACCAAGTATCCTTTGCGGAGCTGGTGCTGAAAATCCGGAGAAGATGTCGATTGGAGTCTGTGATCCAGAAGTGTCTGTCGAGGAGCGACCTAGACCAGAGCCAAGCGCGGCTGTCGATCCCGCGCGGGGCGGTGGGGGAAGAGTTCTTGACGGCGGAGGAGGCGGCGGAGCAGTGGGGCACGGTCGTCGGCAGGGGGAACTACGTTCTGACGTCGCAGTGGAACAGCGTGGTGGAGGAAGTGAAGTTTGGGGAAGACGACGCGATTCAGCTTTGGAGCTTTAGGGTCGGAAGGGAACTGAATCTGGTTTTGGTTCGGTTGGGTGGTTGCGGCGACCGACGGTAGGGGTTAAAAAAATAGAATTTTTAATTTTATTATTTTTCATTAAAAAATAATTTAAAAATATTATGTGTTAATGAGCTGATGTGGCAGCTGATGTGGTGTATACGTGGCTGCCACATATGTGCCATGTAATCAACAGTCAACATTTTATGGTTGACCGTTTGGTCAACCGTTATCTATAACGGTCAACAAAATTGTTAGGACGTAAATGACACAAAACTACCAAACGTTGGGACACAATTGTCATATCGAATACTTTAGGACACAAATGACACAAAGTTAATAGTTCGGGTTTCCCAGTGGTATTAGCCCTTTTTACAATTCATGCATACGCAAGAACTAAGAGATTAAACAAAACCAAAAAAAATAAGTTGTCACCAAAAATTGAAAAAGATGAAATAAACAGACAGTTGATTTTATATAATATAATAATATTAATTATCGAAAAAAATATAACATTATTATATGTATAGCAGATCGATCGAAAGGAAAATATTTTAATAAAAAATTGGTGTAACAAAGATATATTATGCTGCTAGCAACTGACGCTCGCAAATGATGATCATGTATGTGTGGGGCTCGATGAACCACATATGAATATACCCATGTGCAGATTTCAACTCAAGACCTAGAGATTTTGCGATATGATGATCAACAGAAACAAAACTATATATACATAAACTAATACTTAATCAAAATAGTAATTAAATAGATTGTATATCTATTAATTATTTTTATCAAAGTTGCAATCTGTAGAAATTAGGGGATATACCATGGATGGCAATGGTAAGTTATGTAGCGGCTGATCAATATGTTCTTGTATTTTGAAAAACTTGTATAATACATTCATATGTTATCAATTTTTTTCGTTGAATATATGACGCATTCATATGATATCAATTTCAATATATCTTATCAAATAACTATTCCAGATTTTGGCATCACCAATTAAATATTGAAGTATTTTCACGTGCCTCATTGCAAATGTCTTTCAACACTTTCAATGGTCGCTTTCAGTTCTATTATATTTACCTCTTTTCAGACATATGTAGTTTACAATTATTTAGAAAAAATCAATTGCACATAAATGATAAATGATTTTAAGCAAATTTTTATAAAAAAATTCATGGGATCCCAGGTGCAAAACAAAACAAAAAAAATATCTACGAACTTTCTCATACAAATTACAAAAATTTCATTTCCATTCATAAGGTGGAT